CCTTCCTCCTTTCCTCTTTCTTTTCTTTCTTTTTCTCCCTTTCTCTCTTTCTCTTTCTTTCTTTCCTTTCTTTCTTTCTTTCTTTCTTTCTTTCTTTCTTTCTTTCTTTCTTTCTTTCTTTCTTTCTTTCTTTTCTTTCTTTCTTTCTTTTCTTTCACTCTTTCTCTCTTTCTTCTTTTTTTGACAGAGTTTGCTGTTGTTTCCCAGGCTGGAGTGTGATCTCAGCTCACTGCAACTTCTACCTCCCAGATTCAAGTGATTCTTTTGCCTCAGCCTCCTGAGTAGCTGGGATTACAGGTGCGCAACACCACGCCTGGCTATTTTTTGTATTTTCAGTAGAAATGGGGTTTCACCATGTTTTCCAGGCTGGTCTTGAACTCCCGAACTCAGGTGATCTGCCTGCCTTGGCATCCCAAAGTGCTGGGATTACAGGCGTGAGTCACCACACCTAGCCACTGTTTTCAGTTTTCCTTGTCTGTTACCCTCAAAGTCATGCTCTCTGTATAGCAGGAGGCTATGATTGTATTGTGTAGCGGAAGGCCATGCTAGATGAAATGTTTTCCTACACCCTGGGAGCAGTCACCTGTTTTTGGTGGATCATCTTAGGGTTAATAATCTGCTTATTAAATTTGTGTTGCTCTTTCAGCTTTTGCTTGCCTCTCCATTGTTATTTCTTTGCGTTAGTTTTGGAACTGCTTTTTCACTCCATCTTATGCTGTTTGTGATGTAACACAGACTTTGTTTGTGTGCTTATCTGACTAGATTTCATGCCTGTCCTCATTTTATCTCCTCATCTGCTGCCTTTGACCCAGAATAACAAAATAAAGAAGCTCAGAAATGGAAAGGATCTTAAACATTGAATCTAACTCTAATCAACATGACAGAAAAATATGGTATTAAGAAAGTTTTTGTGCTGACTCTAGAGCTACTGAGGCTACTGCTCTCCCTTTTAAACGAAGGAATTGAAACCTAAGAGAAACAGTAAATTGGTGGTAGGACTTCAACTGGTACTTAGGTATGACATTCTTTGGCTACATCATTTTGCACCTAAGTGTCTGTAATGTTTATCATTATTTAATACAACTACTTTTGGGTAAAAACAAAACAAAAAATCCCTCAAATGAAATGCAGATTGGCAGAAAACGAAAAGAGTGTGGCTGGGAATGTAGGGTGATCGTATAAGGTAAGAAAATGTATTGAAGATGGGAACAACATATCAAATCTTTTTTTACCACGAGACAGTGTCAGCGGGATGAATCTGTAAGGAAAGTCATGCTGTTTTCTGAGGAAGTAGAAAGTCCCCTCCAGCAAAATCCTTTCTCTAACTATATGTGTACAAGGTATTTCAGTTTAGAATCACTTCTCTGATCTGAGATATTATCTCCTGTTAAAGTACACTACCCAGCCAAGAGACGATATTCATTAATTTACCAGCACTGCTGTAAGACAGTAACACGCAACGTACAGAGTACAGTGAAAAGGATGATGAGGATGGTCGACTTCAAATGTCTTTTAGAAATGAGAAACACAAAAGGACGGTAACTGCTCCAAAGTTCACATGCAAAATGGACACAGAAAAGGGAGGCTTGGATTAGAATGCAAGGGAGTATAAACCATGAAGCATGGTTTGCCTAGGTAGAGACCATGTGGAGGAGGCACTGTTTAGCTAGAAACAAAAATGTTTTTATTAATAAACTTCTATGTTCCCAAAATTCTGCAAAACAATCTGCATATATTTTCCATTAAAAAAAAAAAAGGTCGATCGGGTAAGGTGGCTCACGCCTGTAATTCCAGCACTTTCAGAAGTTGAGGTGGGCGGATTACTAGATCCGGAGTTTGAGATCAGCATGGCCAACATGGTGAAACCCCATCTCTACTAAAATACAAAAATTAGCTAGATGCACCTGTAATCCCAGCTACTTAGGAGACTGAGGCAGGAGAATCACTTGAACCCAAGAGGTGGAGGTTGCAGTAGGCTGAGATCATGTCACTGTACTCCAGCCTGGGCAACAGAGCAAAATTCAATCTCAAAAATAAGTAAATAAATAAATAAACAAACTGATCTTTTTTTATTCTCTATTTAAATTTGTTTTCAAAACTAGGGTATCTTTTTCTGATCCAACCCAATTATTTTACTTTTATAACTGTATTTTTAATATGAACAAAGTATTGCTGTGCTTTGTATAAAATTTAAATACTATAAGTAATTCATTTTATAAAATAAAACATGACAGATAAATAGCCAAGGATACTGATGTGCATCAATGTACAAAAGCAGATTAATTTATGGAACATAAATGAGACTGTACATATAAAAGATTCTGTAAGTTAATTGCATTGATAGATTTTCTAATGATATACCTCATCTTACGTGGCTCGATAAAGTGAAATAGTTTACTCAAGAGTAGGAAAGTACATTAAAAGGCAGAGTTTGGATTTGGACCTGGGACTGACACCTGAGTCCCGAATTTCAACCACAAAGCTATATTGTGTGTCCAACATTTAATCAATTATACATCTGGTGAAATACCTGAGGGATACTTAGTCCATTCATTCTTGGAGATACTAAACAATTTACTATCAATTTCTGGGTGATATGATTTGAGACTCATCCCTCCCTCAGATTACTGTAGCTGAATTACACTTTGGCCTATGTTGAGGAATGACTTTTTAAAAAGAAAAAGCATTCATGAAATTTGTTATTGCATTTATTCTGAGAGTACTATGGAAAACACTGTTCTTGATGGTTGACAGTGTTCTCTTTATGAGGCCTTATAGCTTGAATTTTTCTCTGGTTCCGATGCCAGGAATAGTTGTACATCTGGTGAGTAATGCTGTTCATTTTGTTAATTTTAGAGGATACTGTATAACCAATATTCTCTCTCATTATGTTAGCTACTAGAAAGCTTAAGTCAGATCTGCAGTTCAGTTTAGATTTTATATATGGTATTTACTATATTCAGTTTACAAACTGATCTCACTATTGGCCTATTCTGTTTGTCTGATACTCATCAGGCTCTCATTTCTAGGTTTTTTTTTTCAATATTTCCTAAAGCATTTGGAATGCAGGATGTTGGATGCACTCAGGCAACACTACACACAGTAACTGAGGTTAGAGCTGGATATTACTGTTCCCAGTTGCACCATTACATAGTGGTAAGAGACATGGACTCTGCAGCCAGACCATTTTTGTTTAAAACCTACTTCTACCACTTCCAGCTATGTTAACTTGGGCAAGTTACTTAATGTCTCTGTAACTGAGTTTTCTCCGTTGTAAAAGGAAAATTACAATAGTATGACCCCACCATATAGTGGTGTAAGTTTGAGAGTCTGTTATTTCACATGAAGTCATGCAACAGGTTTTAGAAGAGTGCCTGGCCTAGATAATGCAGAGTGATGTAACAGAGAAACCAATGGAGCAATTCTGAGTATTTCTTCCTGAATTTATTAAATTCATAAATGTATAGTTGATATAAGGTCCCCAGATTCTCAGCACCGAGGAGAAGAATAAAAATCTACTCATCTAACCATTTGTATAGTACAGAAATCATCTCCATGACATCAAAGTAACAAAAGGAAGTTGTTGTTCTGATAAGGACAGAAATTATCTCCTTCAACAACCAATTCCATTCATTCTTATTCCAAATGTCTTTCTTACATGTTATAGTCAGCTTTCGTTTCTTCCTGATGATTATATATATTTTTTTCAGCATAATCATTCTAATTTGACCAATCCCTGAGGAATAACTTCATTTTCAAAAACATAACTTTCCTATACTGAACATCTTGGAAGTAATATTTGAGTAATTAGGATACTCTTCCTTTTTTAAGAACTCAAAAAGCTTCTGTTTAAAAGTTGAATTTAAGTAAGAAATGGAGATAATAATTAGTGGAGGGGAGCATATGGAGCCAGAAGACACATGCTTCAGTGTAGTTCCCTAACTAGCTAGTGACCTCTTCCTTTCTCCACCTTAAGTCTCAGTGGTACACCGTATAAAATCCTAAGGGTGAAATAAATGATCTCAAAGGTGCCTGCAATTTGGAAATTGCATACTGCATTTTTCCAGCTATTTCCTAGCCATTTTATTGCTTATCAGAAGCTCCACTAGAGGGTGCACCAGCTCAGAAAGAAAAAGTTAAATAAGTCTGTTTGGAAAATTGTTAGCACAGGAAGAAAAAAATAGAACGCTTTAAAGATTAGATTTAAAAAACAAAATAAGGTGGTTAATATTTAGAATTGACTTCAACTATAAGTATATGGGCTATTTTAAAATGGAAAAAAAAAAAGAGAAGCAGGAGGAGGGAGATGAAATAATCCAAACTCTTGACCATCAGCTCAACTGTCACAATTGAAAAAAAAAAACCTTGTTCTTTTTTAATTGGGCCAGGACACCAAGAGAATTTTGCCACATCCGCCTCTTAGAAAACCTGTATTTTTAAGGTTTCGATATTTTTAATATGATATTTTAAAGTTTTTTAACTACAAAGTGATTCACGCACATTAAGTCAAACAATATAAAAATATTAAAAGTATAGAGTTCTTCAAAATGCCATCTTCAGGAGAAGTGAGCACTTTACTAGTCTGGTGTATATTTATGTCTAGTAGTAATTTTGGTGAAATCGTTGTACTTGTGGAAATTAGTATATGCAAAGTAGGATCTATGCTGTTTTACTTAACAAGACTTATTTATAAACATGTCTACATTATTTTTGATGATTGAACAATATTACCTTGCAAGTATGTTCCATTAATTATTTTTCACATCTTTTGTTGATGATCATTTGTCTTAGGATGCTTTTTAAAGTCACACTTTAGTTGCCTTTTTTTTTTCCCCCAGCCATTTGTACCTGTGAATTTTGCTAAACGCTCTGGGTGCTCAAAAGAGCAAAGCGAAAACAAACAAAAAACAGAGAAAAGAAAGGAAGGAGGAGATATTTATATGTGGAGGGGATGAAATCACCTGTAGGCTGGATAATTGGCTTTTGTCTTAAATGTTCATGATAAAATGTTTAAACTGACACTTCACATACGTTAAAAGTCATTTCTGATTGGTATGATGATGGGCATGACACACTGCTTCCTCATGGAAGCTAGAAGCAATAAATTAACTGACATTTATGCATGTCTTCAAACTGAAATGAAGTAAAATATTTTAACAATGGCCGAAGAAGATATGATTAAGTAGCCTGTCTTCTCAGAAGCGTATCTGACTGCAAATAACAGATTTCTACTGTTCAAGCTCAGAATACCTTAAAAGTATATTGAAGTATGAAGAAAGTCCATCAGCAAACTTACATTTAGCGTGCCATGTTAGACATAGTGAGGGGCTCTCTACACCTGCAGAGTTATATCTCCCAAAACTCATTTGTGAACTGTGTTTGTCTGGGATCTTTTAAAACTTGTCTCAGGAATGATTGAGTTGTGGCTAGACACACAAATGATTTGGCCATTCTGACTGAAGGAATCAACTTCTAACTCCTTAGCAAATGGTAGATATGGCCACATTCATTCATTTTCCTCCTAGCCTAATTTCTTCCCTCACCAATTGTATAACAAGAGTGCAACCAGTTGTCCAATGCCTCCTATTCTCTACCAAGGTATCCTTCCCTGGAAAATCTGAGTTTTAAGTGAATATAGGTCTCTAGATGAACAGTATAATGGTTACCTGCCTGACATCTAACACCAATGATTTGTTGTCCCTGAAGAGTTAGTCGCTGCCTTTTCAATGCATAACAGTGTTTGTAACTCTAGAATCAAACCCATTATAGTGCAATTATCTGTTTGTGTATCAGTCTGATAGTTTCACATTTACTTGTGTTCCCAGTGCCTTGAATTGAGTGGGCATATACATTTGCATAATTGTGTTGGGTGCGGGGAGGCATGAGCTGATATGGGAATATGTAGGTATTTTTTTTGGAGAAACAAGTGTGATCAATACCAATTTTATTGGGTGAAAGAAATAGGCTTTGGCTATCCAGAGTTCCAGGACTAACACTCTTCCTTTATCACCAGGTGTGTAAATTATAATGATCGACACCCTAATGGCTCGTATATCTGGTAAGAATATCCTCCATTTGTTTTATATGACAGTTGGTGGCATATACAAACCCTTTGTCCTGAATAATTTGAGATGGTACATGAAATCATACAGCTTAAGGGGTCATGCAAATCAGTATAGAAATATCACTTTCAGATTGTTGGCTAGTGTTTACTTAAACACTTGTTGTGACAAAGGGATTCGCTCTTTTTAAGAATAAGAGTTTATTCTAGACTTGAAAATCTTTAACGGCAAAATAATTGTTCTTTGTCTAGAAATCTCCCTAAATGACCCTCCACTGATATTAGTTCTGGCCTTAAAAGACATTCCAAATAACCAGTACCTCTTCTATGAGATAATCCTTTGGAAATTTTAACCTCTTACATCTTGACATTTGCATATTCTCAACTTAACATTGTCAGTTCAATCAATTAGCCTGCTAGCTCCTCAAAGGCAGAGACCCAGCAAATAAATTAAGACATTGTCTTTTAGGATAAGCCTCCAATTCCCAAGGAGAAAATGACTACTACCACCTGGAAAGATCAATCCTCTCTGAGGCCAAAGAGTAATTTTGCTTCAGTGGAAATGTATGGGTGGTGATAGGAAATTGCTTAAGGAATTCAGTGTCCCAGATTGCTTGTGGCCAGTATAGCTGAGTCCTCATCCACTTCCAGGTAGTAATGGAAGCTCTTAACTTCCCCGCATGCTCTACCTCGTCCTTCCCTGGTAACTTTTGGAGTCAGGATCCTGCTGCTGGTTTTCATGGCAACTCTTCTCTGCGGAGCAGTGGTCCTCTGCCTCCAGTGCTGGCTGAGGAGACCCCGAATTGATTCTCACAGGCGCACCATGGCCGTTTTTGCTGTTGGAGACTTGGACTCCATTTATGGTGAGTTGTCTACACACTTTGGACTCCTTTTAGAAACTTAGTGGTTTTGTAGTGAATTTAGAAACTATTCTCCCAAAAGCAGATTTGTGAACTTGGGAAAAAATATGGCTTATTGGAGAAAGGCCTGCATTGAGGAGAGTTTAAGGGAGAAAATTTCAAAAGAAAGACACTCCGAGAAGAAAGAAAACGTGTCTGGGGAACCGACCCACAGTTGGGTATAGGGACAGCAACTAAATATTTTGTGTTCAGCAAGCAGAAGAGAAGAGAAGGGCTGGACAGTCCGGGTGAATGGTAGGGTTGACGGTACTGAAAAGCATCTCTGAGCTTTTATTACCAACCTATCTTAACTTGTATTTGTAATTTCATTTATTGAGCTTCCTATGCTTTACTGAACTCATCTGAAGTAACATTGAACAAAACTTTCCGGATTGTCTGCGGTCAGTGCAGAATCTGAAATTCCATGGAATGGTCAGGAGAAGGTCAATTTTCATGCCCTTTGATCTCAGCATCCTGATCCTGTCAGCGCCCAACCCCTCTCCCAAAACCACACCCTTTCTTTCATTTTCCAGTTTGCATAAGGAAATAAAGAATGGAGGAAATTAAGGGCTTAGAGTTATTTGTAGCTGCCAGCCTCAGCTGTGAGTAGAAAAAAACCCAGCAACTTACTGATTTCTGGGAGGTCATAATTGGTAGGTGTTGTCCCAACATCTTAAGTGTTGTCCCAACCAGGGACTGTTGTGAGACTTTATTCTAAGGGACTGCATTCCACACTACGGTTACTTCAAGAGCACTTAACAGAGATAATAACTAAAGCCATCTTTCAGAAACTTGAGCCACCATGAAATTTTCAATAGATGGAGCAAGGTGTGCCTTGAGAAAAACGAACAGCTAGATGAAAAGTGGGGTAAAAATAAACACAAATGTGCTAACATCAAACTCAGTTTTCTAACATGATGATTATATTCACTTCCACCTTTTTTCTCTTTCAGAAGTTATTACTTAACAGAGGCAACACATTACCAGTTTGGGAAATGGTTATTTTAGAAAGGATAATTAAAGTCTCCAATAACAATAAGTTCTTTCTCTTAAAATCAAAAGCCCTTTCCAAGGGGCATAGAGGGAAACAGGGTTATTGATCTTTTAACAAAATACATTAGTCAAAGGAGTCAACTGGTAACATTGGACTATTTTTCTTTATTTACCTAGAGGTATTTAATAAGTAAATGCAATTATGCTTTTTAATTTGAACTTAAGTTTCTAAAAAGAAAAATGCAGCCTGGTATTTTTAGCTCTACTCTCACTTTGAGAAAGAATTTTTATCTTGAATCTTAAAAGAATTTACTTTTATATTTTAAGTATATTGTTAAGCTAGTCAGTTTTCCTGTTATAATTTTTAAAGCAGTTTATGTGCCATGGTTATATACTTCTTTGTCTAGTGTTTTTATATTTCTTACATTGTAGTTTCCATATGTGCTCCTGAACTTACCTAAATAGTAATGAATATGAGAGAAGGTGTCACGGCTGATGTACTTTCTGCTTTAGCAATCTGCATGTGGTAGCACTGAGTGATGGGCAATAGACTCACATTCTCTTTAGCACTCTGAAATCATTCAGAACAGGAAAAAAGAATCCTTGGGTATAAATGGCATTTAAAAAAATATGGTCACAATTTGTTTTAGGTTTGTCAAAAGCTAAGCAGTAATTTGAAAATTTTCAGATATTATCTCTAATTCCTACATATCAACTTGGAAAAGTGGCTATTATTTATCTCAGAGGATGTTATTTACTTCTCTCACTCTCAACGATAAACATACATGCGTAGATGTTTACTGTAAGTCAAGAAATCTAGTGTAAACTGTCCAGAATTGGCGATAGAGAACCAGTGAAAATATGGGCTGGTCACTCACAGCCCAGCCCAGCCCTAGAGAGTAAGAGGTGCTCACTGTTTGAACACCTAGACGTTTCCTTAGAGCAGCTCTTCAGTGGTAGGGCTTGTGCTCCAGGATCTTCATGCCCATCCTCACTCTATCCTTTGCTCTCAATTCCACTGATTTAACTTCCAGATCTTATTTTGCTCAAGAAACATTTAAACTCTTCCATCCTTGGTTGCATTGCTAATCTCTCCACTATTGATTCCCATTAGTTGCTCCATCCTATTCATCTTTTCTTGTGCCTTCACTGAATTGAGCATTAGCTTGTTCCACCTATTGCCCATCTTCCATCATGTCCCGGGGATGCTCAGGAGGGCAGGACAAGCAGGGAACAGCTATTCAGACAGTCTTTGATGTGGATGTGGTGTCCAGAGCTATGCTTTTTAGCAATCCTGTTTCCCCTCTCCAAAACAAAACACGAAAGAATAATTTAGGAAGAGGTGATCTCCCATCACTAGTGACTTCTTACCTAGTGATTTCTGGAAATAAATTTCAGACAGTCAATATTTCAAGACAGTCTGAAACCTGGACCCATGCTAAACTTACATTCCCCACTAGGTCCTCATTATACTTTCACTTCTCCATAGAAATGATGCTTCCTACCTAATATTTCTATAAAAAGAAGCTGCTCTCCTAAAGAAATTAGAGAACTGCTTACTTTTATGGCTACAGAAGGAGGTGAAGGTCAAAACCACAGCATCTACCTCCACAGCTCCCACAGAGTATGTGCTCACAGCTAAGGATTGAATCCAGCTGTCCCAGGATTCATATGCCCACGTCAAGGTTACCAGACTGTGCTTCTGAATTTCCCTCACAGTCCCTGTTCAGAAGAGAAAGAGAAAAATTAGAAACCTCCGGAATGACACTGGCGACATGTTAGAATATAAATAAAGTTTCTGGACTCCCTACCATCTCTTGAGTACAAAGGAGAAGATAGGATACTCCCCCCTGAATACAGAATGTGGGAAATGGGTCATTTGAAACACTTTAATGGAAAGACTAGATTTGAGATATTAACCTTGGTTTCCTCCCAGAACTTAATTTTTAATTTGTTTTCCAAAGCTTACTTTACTTAATTATCACCATTTATTGAATATATTAATTGTAATAGCACTGCTCTTCTGACCTGTGGGGCAGAGGTTTGACTCTTTGGATCTTCTGGAAGCAGCCCTCAACTGAGAAGAACTAAGAGGAAACTTCTGACTGAGAAACTGAGGTGGACAAATTATACTATTGTTAAAATATATAAAATAGAAAATTTCTTTCAATCGGAACTACTGACACTATTACACAGTGCAGGTTGCCAGTTATTCTTATTAGAAATACTAAACAGAAGCTGGGCATGGTGGCTCAAGCCTGTAATCCCAGCACTTTGGGAGGCCAAGGAGGGCGGATCACGAGGTCAAAAGATCGAGACCACCCTGGCCAGCATGGTCAAACCCCGTCTGTACTAAAAGTACAAAAAAATTAGCTGGGACTGGTGGCACGTGCCTGTAGTCCCAGCTACTCAGGAGGCTGAGGCGGAAGAATGCTTGAACCCGGGAGGCAGAGGTTGCAGTGAGCCAATACCATGCCACTGCACTGCACTCCAGCCTGGCAACAGGGCAAGACTACGTCTCAAAAAAAAAAAAAAAAAAAACAGAGAGAAAAGAAATACTAAACAGAAAAAAAAAACCAAACACTTGGCTTGGATCCTTACAAAAGGTTTAAGGGAGGTGTTCCCAGCACCTTCCCAATGTCTGATATTTCCTATCTAGGAGAGGTCCTTAGAGCTCAGTCAAACACCACAGACCCCATCAGCGTTTCCTGGGCCAATGTTCCTCTCTTTTCACAGTACTCTGCTGATTCAGTCTTTAGATAACTGGTCTTCCTTCCACTTCATAGGATCTGTGCCCCTGAATTGTGGATCCTAGACTCAGGGGCTTCTCAGAGTTTGTTGGATTCAGTAGAAGAGATCCTGGCACTTACATGCCCAGTGATCACTCTCTATGTGCATCATATATTAGGAAGCTCTTTATCCTTCAGAAAGGGAAAAACGTTCCCTCTGATGCCCCCCTATCGTGGGCTGAGTTGTGTCCCACCCAATTTCATATGTTAAAATTCTAACCCCAGTATCTCAGATTATGACTATATTTGAAGATAGGGTCTATAACAAGACAAAGACAATGAAATTAAAATGAAGTAATTGAAATGAACCTTAATTCAATATGACCATCATTCTTATCAGAAGATATTAGCACACAGACAGTCAGGCACAAAGTAAAAACCATGTCGAAGCACAAGGAGAAGGTGGCCATCTGTAGTCCAAGGAGAGAAGCCTCAGAAGAAACCTACCCTGCTGACACCTTGATCATGGATGTCTAGTCTCCAAAATTGTAAGAAAATAAATTTCTGTTATTTAAGTGATCCAGTCTGTGGTACTTTGTTATGACAACTCTGGTAAACTAATTACAACTCTCTCTTGGAGAGTGAGGAGGAAGAAGAGGTATTGTCAGAGAAAGAAGACAAGAAGAAGATCAGAAGTCAAAAAGGCAGAAAAGGAGAAGATGTGGAGCAAGAGAAAGAGGAAGAAGAAAAGAAACAGTGTAAAATCAGAGACATTTTAAGGACTAAAATTTAACCTACTTACCTTAATCAAACTCTAAATTCTTTTTTTTTGTCTCAGGCCCACTTCCTCTTCCTGCTGTTAGCTCCAGAATCTCCTCATCTCCCTTATTCCCTTACTATGCTGCCCTGAACTTCACTCATTTCTGGATCCAGTTCTCCTTCACCATCTTTGCTACAACCCAGAAAGTGTCCATTCAATGCCCTGACATCTTTTCAAATGGCATCATTCATGCTATAGTTTCTGAGACCTTCTTATTTCCTTACCTGAACCATAAAAGATAAATAATTCTAGTATTATGTGGGTATGTTTTGTTCAGCACCTGTGTTGGGGTAATTTTTTTTTTCATTTGTTTCAGTGTTTTCTTATCTCGGTGTATTAGTCTATTTTCATGCTGCTGATAAAGACATACCCAAGACTGGGCAATTTACAAAAGAAAGAGGTTTAATGGACTTACAGTTCCACATGGCTGGGAAAGCCTCACAATCATGGTGGAAGGCAAAGAGAAGCAAGTCATGTCTTGGATGGCAGCAGGCAAAGAGAGAGTAAGGAAGACACAAAAGCAGAACTCCCTAATAAAACCATCAGATCTCATGAGACTTATTCACTACCACAAGAACTGTGTTGGGCGAAACAACCCTGTGATTCAATTATCTCCAACCAGGTCCCTCCCACAACATGTGGGAATTGTGGGAGTACAATTCGAGATGAGATTTGGGTAGGGACACAGCCAAACCATATCCCTCAGTATCTTACCTAATTAATGTCTCCTAAGTGATAAGACAACTGAAAACACAGAATATTTCCTGTATTAATCCATTCTTACATTACTGTAAAGAAATACCTGAGACTGGGTAATTTATATTTTAAAAAGAGGCTTAAATTGGCTCCTGGTTCTCCAGGCTGTATGGGAAGTACTGTGCTGTCATCTGTTTGGCTTCTGGGGAAGCCTCAGGAAACTTACAATCATGGCCAAAGGCAAAGAGGGAGCAAGCACTTTACATGGCTGGGCCAGGAGGAAGACAGAGGGAGGGGGAGGTGCTACACATTTTTAAACAACCAAATCTCATGGGAACTCACTATCACAAGAACAGCCCCAAGGGCATGGTGCTAAATCATTCATGATAAACCACTCCCATGAGCCAGTCAACTCTCACCAGGCCCCACCTCCAACACTGGGGATTACAATTCAACATTCCATTTGGGCAGGGACACAGATCCAAACCATATTAACCTGCAGCCAGATTCTCCCCCCTTCTCAAATGTGGAAATGGGAAGTGAAAACACACATTGAGGCACAGACAGTGAGTTAAAAGGAATGTATGCAAATTTTTAGTAAAGGTTGAGAAAGAAGATAAAAATCATTAAAATCCTCACATGACCAACTGCATCCCAAATCTCTATTGTTTGTGATCATTTCTCAGCAGTTCATAAATCCAAGGACTACAAGTATGACAGGGTAAAACAGATACTAAAAATAGTTTTTTGAAAAAGATAAGGATTTTGGTTTTGTTGTTTGTTTTTTAAATTTGTATTTTAAAAATAGGCAATGTCATAGCGATTTCAGAGTTTATTAAAAATGAAAGGTTTTTATTTTAATTTACTAAAAATAAGAATGACAATAGGTTTTATTAAAAATAAAGTTGTGATGCTGAATAAAAGCCCGTCTTAATGAGGAAGCAAGACATTTAAAGATAATTAATGGAAAATGTTTGGAGTTTTGGAGGTGAGAAAAGGACAAATACAGCTTGAGGCAGAAAAACAATTGACTTTACATTAGAAAACAGAGAATTTGAGACCACAGGAGAGGGACCTCCATAATTGTTTGTCCATGTTTTTAATAAAACATAATCAATTACATAACATTTAAATAAGAGCCCCTTTGCCTTTATGCCATGAGGTCTGTGGACTGGAGCTGGGTTTTCTCAAGCTTGACAAAGCCTCCTAATGAGGTCCCCTGCCTTTCCTGACATGATCACAAGATGAAGGACCAGAGGACACCCCTCCTAGGGATACTCATCTTGGCTTAGCTTCATATTGGGGCTGATCACTCAATAATGCTGCCCTTCAGCTGTACAATCTCCTTGACCCCATTTCCTCTGCAATTTTAGGTATAATCTTCCCTCTTTCTTATTTCAGGGAAATAGAAACACCAGCATTGCAGCAGTGTTTATATATGAGTGCTCTGAGCTGGGGAGAAAAAGAAGAGCTGCAGAGAGGTGAACAAGAAGCAGGGTCTTACAGGCTCTGTTCTCTTCTCCCTCCAAGTCTTCCAGGACTCTTTTATTTTATGACTTTTTTAGAAATGCCATTTCCCTCTGTTTCATGTTCTATGTGTAAATATTCTGTTACTTATTTTCGGTAATAAAATAGGAAGCATTTCATTCACAGATTTTCATGGAAAGACATAATAATAGTAATGGCTCACATTCATTGAGCATTTCCCAGGAGCCATGCCCTATGCTAACACTTGCCGTCCCTAATCTCATTTATTCTTCCTTACCACTCTATGAAAGTTCACTATCATTCTGACCACTCTACAAATGAGGGAACAAAGGCACTTAGAGATTAAGCAACATAGTAAGTAGATGGTAAAACTGTGACTCAAATTCAGTCCTTCTGGCCACTCCCATAGAAGAAAAAGGATTGAGGTAAAGGAAAGAGAAGAAATAGGTAGACAGAACATATAGAAAGAGGTGAAGTCTATTTGAGTGATTCTTAAAAACACAGGAAATCTCAACTCTGGCTATAAAAACTAAGCAGTAAGTTTATTGGTTATACAAGATTAAACAATAAATTTGAACATCTTAGCGATTCTGCAAAATCTACAAAATTTTTGCTGACATTTTATATTCAGCTCTCTTAGTTTCTTAATTTGTCAAAAGATAAAAATGCCTCGTCTCCCTAGCACCCGATCACTTGATATTATATGTAAACGTGCTTTGAAAAAAATTGAAAACTGATAGAACATATATTTGGTTTTCAAAACTTCCTAAGCATATTGGCTTAGTTATGTTTTCCAAATGCCTTGTGGCTTTAATAACAAGTTTAAGATCAACAGAAAATTTGTAGTAAGAAGATAATGAACGTTTTCTAAGAAAGCAACTTTGAAGATTCTATCACTAGGAACACAATATTGACAGTGGCAATAGCAGAAATAAATTGGAGCTAGTACAAATAATAGTTGTGTCAAGTCAGTTTGGTTGAACATGTCTAAGCAGAAAGATAGTTAAGTTACTTTGACTTTGTACTAAATTCACTAGAAGCAGTTCACCAAGAAAATAGCCATCATTCAGTACAAATATTCACAATGGAGGAAATTACTGGGGCAAGTACAGTTTACCTGTGTTAACTCTGATTGATCAAGTCCCACAGACTTATCTGACATCGACCCAAATTTACAAACTGCAAAGGGCTCTGACTCTATGATACTTTTCACTTAATAACTTCTATATTATAATTAATAATGATCATGTTTAAATCATTATTTAACCTTGAAAAGAGGATAGACTGAAAAATAATATTGTAAATGAAAGAAGATGCATGTATGTTCCTAGAGTTGGTACAGTCTTTACATATTGTCATAATAATAGTAAACCCTGATGCATGACTACTGTGTGCCTGGTCTTGTTTCAAGTACATTATGCTCATTAGGCTTTGCTTTTATAGAGGTAGATACTAGTATTATACCTTAATTGTCCAAGAGAAAATCGAGGTAAAGAAATATTATGTAATAGTCTAAAAATAGACTAGTTAAATAGTTAATGCTAAGAAAAATGCTAAACCATAGGTGAGACATATATTCTAAATATGACCCCACCCTTTACATATTTGAATTATTAGTCTTTGCTCTGTACCAGTGAAACAAGAAATAAGACAAACACAAATGTATGAAAATTCGTTATTGTAAATTAATATTATTCACTTCAAAGCAATCGTTTTGAATCACCTCCATATGGATCGTAGGGAAGCAGTTAATGTCTAATATGCAACTACTCTTTGAATTCTTTTGATCATTGTGGCATGTTCTTTGTAATATTCCTAATGGCATCCAATCTTACTCCTTTAAGAAAGGTCAGCAAACTTTTTCAATGAACAGCCAGATAGAAAATATTTTTGGCTTTGCAAAACATAGAGTCTATGTGGGGACTATTCACCTCTGCCATGGTAGTGCACAGCAGCCATAGACAACATGTAAATGTATGGATATGATTGTGTTTCATAAATTCGGTATACAAAATCATCCAGAGGTCAGATTTAGTTCAAGGGACTTGTTTCTTTTTCAAGATGAATTTTTGTTGGCTGCTATGGTTTTGGCAAAAAACAGTCAATATCATTTAAAGGTAGGTAAAGATCTAGGTGAATATATGTATTCTTTACATATAAGCATGTGTGTGTGTGTGTGTGTGTGTGTGTGTGTGTGTGACCATCTTTCTATATATAGCTATATATTAATATAAAGATGGTTATAAAATACCGCTATTTTTGGGGTCGTGTCCCAAACACAGTCTTTCAAGAAAATACTAACAGTCAACTTCCAAAAGAGCCATTAAAATAAGTGCATAGTCTTTCAAGGTTACCAGTTAGTGGAAGAAAAGGCCAGTTTGCAATATTTAATGGTCTGTATGATGCATAGTCTAGAAGTCAAGAACTTTGATTTCAAAGTATTTTAAAAAATTATTTTAAAATGTATTCTCTTTATTGTGTGTGTATACTTTAAATGCACACTTTTCATCACTGAACTTAAAATGTTTACTATTTACTAGAGATAATTATTAATTTGTATTGAAATTTGCAAGCATAAATGTAAACTAATAAAATTTCGAAAGTGATAATTTTAATGTTTATAATGCAACGTATATCTCCCATGATGGGAGCATTAGCTGAAATGCCATTAGTGTTTAAAGGACTCCTGTCTTGTGATCTACAAGAGATGATATTCCTTCTAGTTTCAGCTCCTACGTTGTAAATACTGCTTGATGGGTTAGATAATGATGATATCATCAGTTCATGCAACCAATTCTTTTTGTTTGTTATGTGACTAAACTTTTACTGCAAAGAGCAAGATGGTTGTAAATTTTTTCTCATGGATACAAATAATTTTCTGTTGCTTCAGTGATCCAAGAAATGCCAGATTTTTTGGATCTAGAAAGATTACAAGTCTTCATCTTTCTCTTTCCAGGGACAGAAGCAGCTGTGAGTCCAACTGTTGGAATTCACCTTCAGGCTCAAACCCCTGACCTGTATCCTGTTCCATATGAAGAAATTTTAGGCTCCCCACCTCCATATGAAGATATTATAAAAACAAGCTGATCTGAGGTCTGGATTATCAATTTAAAGTATTAAAGACATCTGTAATTCCAAAACATCAAATTAAGGAATAGTTACTTCAGTTGGTGGAAATGTCCAGAAATCTATTCATATAGTCTGAGGAAGGACAAATAGACAAAAATAAAAAAATGGATGTCTGGAAACATTTTGGTCATGGAGATGTCTAAATAGTAAATTAGTGGATTCTTGCTGTGTCACTGCTGTGTCATACTTTTATGCTACACCACTGAATTAACGCTTTGCACTAGAACCTAAATAAACAATAATTAGGTGATAGAAGTTGTCTCTGTTACATTTAGGACTCCACTGCAGTATACATCGCACCATTTTCTGCTTTAAACTTTTTCCTAGTGTGGAGTCCATAAAAATGATTGTAATTTAACAGTAGCCCAAGCAGAGAATCCAACATGTCCAGAACCAGAACCAGAAAGGTAATATTTGAATTATGATGAGTGAGGGAAGAGAGTCGGTAAAAGAAAAGTTTGGAGTTGAAGGGTATAGGATAAATGAAGAGGAAAAGAAAAGATTACAAGTCTCAGTCTAAGAGACTTTATGCCTCAACCTTGGGAGGAAGAAATTGTAGATAGAAGGTAAAGGAGATTGCTGAAGACATGGACCATGTGTAATGCCAATGGGGTGAGGACATGGACTCCATAGCCACAGTCTTCCTCTGGAGCTTGAAGGCTTGGCATTTACTGGAGAACTATGCTAAGAACCTTTGGCATAGAAATCAGTGTTCTCATGAGGACTGCAGACATCTTCAAGTGGCATTTTGGAAGTGGCCATCAGTAGAGGGTCAGAAAAAAACATCTGTTGTAGATGCTATATGAGCTTCAGCTCACAACCTTGTTGGAAAAAAACAATAAACATCAACAGATATCTAAAATTTAGCTTCACCAAACTTATTTCCTAATGTTCTTTTTCCAAATCTGTCTATCCAAACCTTCCTCATCTCAGTTAAGTGCAACTGTTGCTCAGGCAAAAAAATACTTGGAGCCGTAGAAGCTAAAGTAATCCTTTTAAATAAACTATTTTTAGACCAGTTTTAGGTCCACAGGAATACTAAGCAGAAGGTACAGAAATTTCTCATATACTCTGCCTTGACACTTACATAACCTCCCCTCTTACCAACATTTCTCATCAGAGTGGTACCCTTACAAGAAGTGTTGATGAACCTATACTGACATAATTATCATCCAAAGCCCATAGTTTATATTATGATTTACTCTTGGTGTTGTACATTCTGTTGGTCTGACAAATTTAGAATGACATGTACCTACCATGATAGTGTCACACAGAGTAATTTCACTGCCCCTCAAAGTCCTCAGTGCTCTGCCTATCTATCCATTCTTCCCGCCCCTCTAAATCCAAAAAAACCACTTATCTGTTTTCTCCATGGCTTTGCTTTTTTAGACTGCCATATACTTGGAATCACAGAGTAGGTAGCCTTTTCAGGTTAGCTTCTTTAACTTAGTAATATGTACATAAGTTTCCTCTACATCTTTTCATGGCTTGATAGCTCATTTCTTTCAGGGCTAAATAAAATCCATTGTCTGGTATACCAAAGTTTATTTGTGCCTTCACCTGCTGAAGGACATCTTGGTTGCTCCCAAGTTTTGGCAATTCTGCATAAAGCTACTGTTAATATGCATATGCAAGGTTTTGTGGAGACATAAGTTTTTAACTCCTTTGGGTAAATACCAAGAGCATGTTTGTTGGATTGCATGTTTAGTTTTGTAGCAAAACTACTGACCTATCTTCCAAAGTGTCTGTACCCTTTTGAAGTTCTAGCAGCAATGAATGAAGAGTTCCTGTTTCTCCACATCCTCACCAGCATTTGGTGTTGTCAGTCTTCTGAATTTTGGCCATCCTAATAGGTGTGCAATAGTATCCCATTGTTGTTTTAATTTGCAATTCCCTAATGATATACGATGTAAAGCACCTTTTGATATGTGGAGTAATCTTTTTACAATATAAGGAGCATCATGTACCTTAACTAAACTCTAACTGAGGGACTCCACCTCAGTAAAAAAACAAATGTCAAGTTCCTTGACAATGGCTGTATAGGATCTGTACTCCTTCACCATCTCCATTCTTGTGTTTCCCTTTTACTCATTTGCTGCAAAAACACTGTCCTCAAACCTATCAGGTACTAGCCTACCCCCACCTTGCAGTTCTTTTTGTCTGCAACATTCTTCCCTCAGATATCAATATTGCTTCATCAACTCACCTACTTTAAATTTTTCTTAAGAAATCACCTTCTCAATGAGGCCCACACTGACTATTCCACTTTAAATTGCAGCATCTCCCAACTCCAACACTCCCAAACTCCTTATACTAGAAACGCTTTTTATTTTTCCATAGCATTTACCATCTTCTATTATGCTAGATAGCTGAATTGTATTGGTAGTCTGGTACGTTTCTTCCAGGGCTAGAATATAAAGTGAAGGAAATCATTGCCTTATATATTGATTTATACTCAAGTGACTAAAAACACCTTGCATTGTACTAAAACTAAGTTTTAAAGTAATGTTTCTTAGTTCTGGAAACTCCCAAAAATCTGGATGAGGATTTACTGGGGATAAGGCTTTATGAAAATGAGGGTGAGTAAAAGCCAGGAACAGCTGACTTAGTGCTATTAACGTAATCTCACTTGTTTCCACTGATGAAAAATATCTGAAAAAGCTTTTGTTTGTGTACTGCAATAATCCCTGGCGTGTATAGAGCATTGTAGTGAATAAACTGCTCTCATATACGCTATCAGATTTTATCCTAATAACAATTTTGTCACCTGGCTACTCCTAACTTCAAGTTAAACATGGTAGAATGAAGACATCTACTCTCCTCAGAAACCTACTAAGATTATATTAAAGAAATTAAAATGTTTTTAATTCACAAAAACAGAGGGAAGAAGACGACAGTAAGAAGAAAGTTAATCATAAGATTTTAGTACTTGGAAAGGTGAATGAGATGAATACAGATAGTTGTCATGATTGACTGAGGTTTTAAGTTTCTCTACTTTGCTAAATATCAGGGAAGAAATAGAATGGATCAAGAAATGTCCAAGAATTAGAGGCAAAAAAAGTGAAGAGAATTCTGAAAATGATAATGAAGTTAATCTATAAAAAGACAGCATTTCAGCAGCCCAAAAAGAGCCAGTTTCAATCAGAACATGATAGCAATGAGCTACAGGAAATAAGAGGAGTGATTAAAGAAAAATATATAATGTAACTATAATGTTAAATTAGTAGTAAGTAGAAAACAGAGGAAGTGAATTTATTTATAGTGATTTATTAAATCCATGAACAACAAAATTTGGATTAACTATAAAATGGCTAAGCTATGAAAATTTCAAATAATTAGTACGGTTAAAAATATTTAAGCTATGAATAATGTAAATAATTAATATTATTTAAATTAATTAAAAATTTTAAATTAATAATTTTAAATGTATATTATTTATATTAACAAGATAGGCAGAGGGAAAAGGCTTGTGAAGGAGGGTGGCAGGATATGGTAAGAAACCTAAATGCTAATCTCAGATTGTGGAAATTTAAGTATTTAAAGGAAAAATCAGCTGGTCACTAAAATGCATCATTTCAGAATTAGATCATAAATATTTGTAACAAAATACTAAATGAGTTGAAAATTGTTGTCTCAAGAAATTGGACATGGAGGTAATGTGTGGGCTAAGATATGGCAGAAAGTACTGATTTCTATTATGATTCTATAGCACTGCCTGACTTTTAAAATTAAATTCATTTATTACTTTAGTATAAAGAAATATAAAATTAAACAGGTACATGACTTGGCAGAGGTGTAGCTTTTAATTGCAAGCCAACAAAGGAAGTCATAGTATAAAGAAGTAAAAAATGTTAAACATAATATCTTCAAGGTAATGGGGCTACAGGTGATTTTATTTTTTGTATGTTTCTCAATTTTCTAATTGTTCAATGATGTGTATAGATACTTTTGTAGTTGAAAAGCTCACAACCCTCTGTTTTAAGAAAAATAGACATACATGCATATATATAATTTTCTTTTTTGAGATGGAGTTTTATGTGTGTATATATATGTGTATACATGTCTGTGTGTATATATATGTATGTATATATGTATGTGTGTATATATATGCATATATATACAGACATACAACTCCATCTCAAAAAAGAAAACAGAAAGCAGACACACATATGTGTGTGTGTGTATATACATATGTATATACATACACATATGTGTGTGTGTGTGTGTGTGTATATATGTATATATATATATGCTCTTGTTGCCCAGGCTGGAGTGCAATGGTGCCATCTCGGCTCAACACAACCTCTGCCTCCCTATTCTCCTGCCTCAGCTTCCCAAGTAGCTGGGATTACAGGCATACACCACCACACCCAACTAATTTTTGTATTTTTAGTAGAGATGGTTTTTCACCATGTTGGCCATGCTTGTCTCGAACTCCTGACTTCAGGTGATCCACTCATCTCGGTCTCCCTGGAATTGCAGGTGGCAGCCATAGCACCGGACCAAAAATATTTATTTTTTAAATGAAGGTTGTTTTTTTCTTTTTCACTAATGAGTGTAGCAATTTCTTTGAGCGTCCACCAGAGGGCATGAAAGCCAATCTATGATTCCAGCCCATTAGCTAGATTTGTTTTAATGGCTAGATGAAACTATGAAGCTGAGTTGCTACTGATATCAAACTTTTGACAGACCCTAGCAGAATGAAATAATATTGAAGTTCACATTTGCGAAGACTTATCTGGTTTCTTTCACAAGAAAGCTGAGCATCAGGTGAGATGCCTGGCATCAGAATGTGGAAAATTTGAAATAGATACCATCTTTCTGAGGATTAAACCTATGAGTTTGAGGTGTCTACAAAGGTTGGCTACTTTGTGCATATAATGCCCACGTGGTGTGTAATATCTACAACGCTGGCCTCATAGGTCTAGTCTATATCATTTTTACCTGATAGCAAGTTCCTTTTTAATTTTCAGATTTTTAGTTACAAATTTCTTTCATTTACATTAGGACCACAACTTTATAACAGACAATTTTACAATTCAGTATCTTTCACAAAAATGAAATAGAGTTGGGATAGAGTTAAAATAGCATTCATGTGGACAATAGAATGAAACTCACCCCGAATATTATATTTAAGGCAAAATGTGAAATTCTTCAGAATTGTGTAAGAGAAAATGAAATAATGAAAATGTGTTGCCTATAAAACCACTCTGTTGAGAGTGATTTTTTTTAAAAAAAAAAGAACAAAGAAAAGGAATAGACTATACATACCAAGTGACTCTTTTACTTTCAAATTCATTTTGCTTTGTGATTTTGTACAAAATAATCCTATACAGGCATTTTTGAACGTGTAATATTAGATGCTGATAAAAAGTAACATTTTTGTTATTTTGTAATTTTCTTATTTTTTGGCTGTGGATAAAGCCTATGCACTAAATGTAAACACATTTCCATTTATACTTCCTATCTCTGATACTATTATGGCTATGCTTTGCATAAGCAGTGAAACTTAATAAACTATCTTTCCTTTTGCTTAGAGTATATTTAATGATGAGAATAATACATGGATTAACCCAGTATGTACCAAAATTCAGTTCCTCACATACAGACTGAAAAGCTTTTCTGTTTATTTTATTTAATGTATTTTAAAGTGAAATCAGTTTCAAACTGAAATGTATTTTAAATGCAATCTTTAAATTATATTATAAATAGAAAAGTGACTTTTTTCAAGTCCATATAAAAATAAATAATGGCTATAAAATAAAAATATTCTATGTACCACCTAAACATGTTTCAAACGCCATTGGTAGTAAGTATATATGTCACCCTTTTAGAAGTTCATTAATATATGCTTACAAATTGGAGACACAACATAGGATGAACTAGAAAGAAGAAAAATATCTTTGTAATTCCCGTTTTCAGGAAAACACGTCCAAACAATTAGTGAAAATAGAAAAAGTTGCTCAATTGGGTCAACTGTGCTCAATTTAATTAAATAAATGCATATCAAAACAACAATATAATACCATTGTTTATCCATAAGATTGGCAATATTAAAGATGGCTAATATCTTGTTTTGGCAAGAATATGGGGAAACAAGCACTTTCATACAATGTTAGCGGACGTATAACATTGTGCAGCCTTTTTATGAAGGCCAATTTGGCTATGTGTACCTAAAATTTTGGTGGATATTTCCATGCTGTCAACATTTCTACTTTTGGACACAGATATTAATTCTACAACTATAATGCTATAAGGGCAAAGATTTTTCTCAAAGAATATTCATTGCAACATTGTTTATAGTAGCAAAACATATAAATAGTGATGATGTTTAAAGGGATACTTTAGACAAATAATTGTACATTTATACAATGAACTATGTAGCTATTAAAAAGGAGGTCATATGGGAAAAATCAATGAATAATTATAAATTTTATTTTTAGTTTAAGGGAAGATATAGAAAATAGTATGGCATATACATTTTCAAAGAATCTACACATACAATATGTTCATAATTTTCTTCTTTGAAAGATATAAAATATTGGTGATAGATACACCTCTTGTGTGAGAACAAATAATGGAACACCATAGGAGTAAATAAGATACATTGTTTATTTACATTTTTGTACTGTTGATTGTTTAGAAATCTTATATATGTATACTTTCTAAAGTATGCTAACAGAGACTCTCTGGATGCTGGGATAATTGATATGATCTGTTTGTTTAATTCTTTATTCTTTTCTATTTTAGACAAATACATATTATTTCAGAAAATTCTCAAAATGACTAAATCACCAGTTTTTGTAATGGAAACATAGGACAACCAATACTGGATTGTGTATGATATTATTTTCCAATTAACTACTGCATATCAGAAGCCCCTGTCATCCACTTGAGAACAAAAGCTGTACAATCTGCTTCAGGAATGATTTTTCTACTAATTTCTAGTGTATCCACTGACTATGAGGCTGAAACTATTCTCAAGATGGAGAACGTAGAGACAAAAAAGAAAACGAACAAGTTTAAGTGTAAAGAACGGAGATTGGTAAAGAGACTAAACAGAGAATCAGAATTCTCTCTGTGATGGTGAACTCTGGTTTAGTAAGACTGCCCCATCAATGATGCAGCAAATATATGGGTTGTATTTCCAATTGCTGCATTAGGGACTTTTTAGCAAATATCCTCACCTCAATTTTTCTACCTTGAAAGAGGGGAAAATGCTGTATTTAGGAAAGGTGTTCCTTAAGAAATGATCTGTTGTTGGAGATAGGAAGGATGTTCAGAGGTAAAAATCAGGAAAGGGATCAGGTGTTTAGGGATAGAGGCAAGAAAACTATAGGGCCTTCTGAAGCGAAGAAAGAAACGCAGTCTGATTGGAAGGTGATAAGTAGGGAGGAAAGTAGTAAAATGAGAGGCAGTAGCAGTTTCCAGAGCTGAATTCATGGCCAGCCTGAAAATTAGGTTACAACTCTTGTTGCTTTATCCTAAAAAAAATAGGAAGACAATCTGGCTGCAGTATGAAGCATGGGTTGGGAGAAGGAATATAAGAGACTGTTGCAATCATCTCAGGGAGAAGATAAAAATTTGGACTAGGATTAAGATAATAACTTGGACTAAGGGAATGACTTAGAGGGCTTTAAATTAGTTAGAATCTATTGTGTTTAATCTTTGGCTGATCATCAAAATGTAAGTGGTGAGAGAGTTAAAACAAATTCTAGGGTTTTCTTTAAAGCATAAGATGCCTAATATCTAGCACACAGAATGACATAAATGTTTTAGCATAAATTAACAACAGATACTTTTAAAAAATTCAAATTAATAAATAAGGTGTTTATCATGCACAACATGATGTGTTATAGTATATATACATCGTGGAATGCTTAAATATAGTTGATTATCAAATTCATTCCCTCACATATCTATCATTTTTGTGGCGAGAGCACTTAACATCACTCTCTGCGTGTTTTTAAGAATACAATATGTATTTCATCTTAGTTCATTTTCTATTGCTGTACCAGAATACCGAAGACTGGGTAATTTATAAAGAAAATAAGTTTTCTTTGAAATATACAACTTTTAAGTTCAGGGATACATGTGTAGGATGTGCAGGTTTGTTACATAGATAAATGTGTGCCATGGTGATTTGCTGCAGAGATCATCTTATCACACAGATATTAAGCCAAGTGTCCATTAGGTATTTTTCACGATTCTCTCTCTGCTTTCACCCACTGCCTTCTGACAGGCCCCAGTGTGTGTTGTTCCTCCCATGTGTCCATGTGTTTTCAATATTTAGCTTTCACTTATAAGTGAGAACACGTGGTATTTGGTTTTCTGTTCCTGCAATTCTTTGCTAAGGAAATTGGCCTCCAGCTCCAACCATGTCACTGCAAAGAACATGATCTCATTATTTTTTGTGGCTGCATAGTATTCCATGGTGTCTATGTCCCACATTTACTTTATCCAGTCTATCATTGATGGGTATTTAGGTTGATTCCATGTCTTTGCTACTGTGAGTAATGCTGCAATGAACATACTTGTGCATGTGTCTTTATGCACAAGTATGATTTAAATTCCTTAGTGCATAAGAGCTTCTTCACAGCAAAAGAAACTATCGACAGAGTAAACAGACAACCTACAAAATGGGAGATAACTGTTGCAATCTATCCTTCTGACACAGGTCTAATATCCAGCATCTATAAGGAACTTAAACAAGAAAAAACAAGCAACACCATTTAAAAATGAGCAAAGGACATGAATAGACATTTCTCAAAAGAAGACACATGTATGACCAACAAACATATGAAAAGCTCACCATCACTGATTATTAGAGAAATCAGTGGGAAAAAATGTAGTCTGATTAAGAGATACTTAAGGGACTTAACAAAATGAAATGTAGATCCGTTTTGGACAAAGTAGCTAAGTAGTATATTTTTAAATGTTAGAGAAAATTTAAACATAGACTAGGTATTACATATGAAAATGTATTGCTACCATAAATCAGAGGTTAGATTAAGAAGTAGATATAGAGCAACATATAAAATGATCTCTTCAAAAAGAGATACATATTCATATGAATGTCTTTAAGTGTATGTGCATAAATGGAGAATATCTGAGAGTCTGTGTAGATATTCAATAAAGTTTTAGGAGTAGTGATGTCCTAGGTAGAGAGAATATGGTGAGAATGGTGTGTTGGTATTTAAATAAGATATATTTTTGAATCTTTCTAATTTTTACACAAAGATTTTACAATGAACATATACAAATTTTATAATGATGAAAGCTAATTTTAATTTAAATATTTGATTTTAGAAAATAGTTAATAAAGGGGTAAATAGCATTGTCCAACTTTTTAATTTTTTCTTTCCTTAAATTGCAATTAATAGGCATGCCTAAATTTTAGTACACAGTATTTAGTGAGCTATTTTAATGTTTCAATCTAATAATCTTACTTGTATATTCTTTTGGATAAATAAATAAATAAATAAACTATTGCTTTTTTTTCTCTTATGTCATGTTGTGCCACAACCTGTCAATTATTACAGCTTCATCATTTAGCATTTATTTTGTTGGTCACTAGCTGCCATACAAAGCTTAGTCTTCTTTATGCTTTATTTTGGGATGCTTCATTACATTACAATGAATTAGAAATGAATATTTCAAATAAATTTTTAAAAACAAATATTGACATTCTTCCCATTATATAAAAAATGTTTTAATTGAGACAAAACTCAAAATAGTCACACACATCAATTATCATCATGGTTCTCTGAAATACTTTCTTATACAAATAAAATCTTTAAAATAAAAAAAATTACATTTTTAAAATCTAATGAACTGTTTAATTATTTTTGTCCTGCCTTTCCCCATGAAGATTTCAAGAGACTTATTGGAATAGATAAAGCATGACAGATAATTATCAAATAAAAATGAGAATAAAAGTTAAAAACCAAGATTGAGAGGAAAAACACAAAATTATTTTTTAAATGCATAGAACATAGAATAATAATCAAATAACTAGTGCATATGATTTACAAATATTTTTAACATCAATTACACAGTTAATAATAAAAATGAGATAAAGTTAAATCTATTGCTGTTAATTCTCCAACTGGATTGGAATTGCTTCAGAGAATACTGCTGAAGATACTGTGGGAAGTAATAAACAACATTCTCGAAATGTTAATCCATGTGCTAGGAATCATAAGCTAATTTTGACATTATTCCTTGCTCTTTAAATTGGAAACACTTATTTCCACATGTTTAGAAATTCACAACTTAATTTCTGTTCTTTCAAAGAACTAACTTCTAGTTCAGCAGATAGTCTTTTAAGGTAGTACAAGGGTACCTTAAAGGTATTAGTGTCATTAATGTTAATGACAAGTAATTAGAAAACTGGAGATTAAATTTTATAACCTTTAAAAAAAAACTCTACAATTTAAAAAGTTCAAGATGATTACATTATGAATATGAATGGAATTCCATTAGCCAGTTCTTTATATATATATATAATTCTGTATTCCTACATTTTATGAGGAACATTGACTTTTCAGTAGAGTTATGAAACTTTATTTATTTAAATCAACATACATCTGTTAAATTTTGCCATATGTGTAATACATTGCTTGGTGCTGATGATTCAGTGACACGTAGGCACTTGCATTGGTGAATTCTAACATACGACATTACAATAGTACTTGGATGTTTGATCAATAAATGAGTAAATTCTCTGGTTGAGCTATTACTTCTGTAGTCTAATAATATGACAATATATAGGCAATGCTAGAATAGTGGTGAAATAATACACAGATCCCTTAGGTTGTTAATGAGGTAGAAATTCATCAGGAGCTCCAATATTAATTTAGCCTTTGCCTTTGACATTTAGAGTGGGTAGGAGGAGGGATCTTGTCGTTAACTCTCATCAGTGTCTGGTACACAAAGTTATTTTCTTTTTCTGTTTTGTTACAATAAGAGTAACGGTAGGCATTGATATACTAGTTTGAATTTAAAAGAACAATCTTCCTCAAATTTATCAAATAATTCACCCACTTGTTAAAAATATGAAAGGTGAACCAAAAGCCAGCGAGAAAGGTAAGTTTGTACATCTTTTCAAAGATTAGGGTTCCTGGCCTCTTTTGAGACTGCTTTCTATTTAAGTATCATTTCATTTTAATATTACCATGTCATAATCTGTAATAGCTATGTGGAAATCACAAACAAACATTTCTACATCCTAGCAGACTAATCTTAAGGGAAAGTGTGTGCGTAAGGAGGAAGGTCAGCAGAGAGAATGAGGGAAAGATATGAGAGTAATAGAAAGTAAAAGTAGCAGAGAATCAAATATTTTGATTAACCAACAATTAATTTAGTTGAATATGAATTCTAAATAACTGTTCCTAGATTGACTTTCTATTTTATTAATGTAACCATATTGATTGATTAAATCATATATAAGCACAGCATGAGATGTGCATTTTACACCCTTGTGTCTACAGCATACATTTTGGCTGTCTCTGTTCGAGGGGCTGCATATGACTTGGCCAGAGAAACACCCGTGGCTGAATAGGCTTCCCTCAAGGAATAAGGATAGTTTCTCTCAGGTCCAACATCTGTTTGAAAGAGATATAAAAATAAGTAAGAGTCAGTGAACTTTGGAAAATTATAAATCACCATTTCATATGTTCTTCCTCCAAAGGAGCAAGAATATAGACAGTCAAAGTAGGTAGCGTCTTGGAACTCTAAGAAGAATCCTAGAAGACATTCTAAGATTTTCATGCTGAAAGTTACTTTAGGTTTAAAATTCAGCCAAGTAGTTTTCCTTTTTTCTTTTATTTTCTTTTTCTTTCTTTATGATGAAGAATCAGGAGAGGTATTCCCTGAGTTTCTAAGGTGCTATTTTTAGAAACCCAATATAACATGTTATACCCTTTAACAAGAAACTTTTGGCTGGCTCTTAGTGCACTTCTTCATTTAACACTAAACATACATTTATTTGAGTGGGTGAAGATATATATATATATATATATGCAAGTGTGTGTGCACACATATATGTATATGTGTATATATGCATATATGTACAAATGCATTTGCAGTGTGTGCCTATACACATATGTTTCTGTATACATATGTACATGTGCATATATGTAACTGTACACATATGTACAGATGCATATATACCTATGTATGTATATACTTACATAATATATATATTACTGTATATAATTATATATTTATTATAATTATATATTAGGTTATATGTAATTATAAAAATATATAATTAGAATATATATGTATATTAGAATCATACATATATGTATGTTAGAATTTTACATATATGTGTATTAGAATTATACATATATATATGGATACCATTCACATTCCCTTGAACAATTGGAATTTTTGATGGTAATAGATAGGAATTTAAATAAATAGCATTATTTTTTAATTTTGAAATGTGTTTTCACTGACTTGGGAAAAAAGATAGTGGAGGCAAGGAAGTTTGCTCTTTTATTTTATTCTTACCTTTAAAAAGGCATAAGCAGCAGGTGAGAACCGCTCCAGCCAAAAAGCAACCCAGAGACCCAGCCATTCCAAGCCAACAGGACCAACCAAATTTATATTGGATACCAAGAAATATATTGTGCAAAACCAGAGAAGAACGTTCCACATAAACATCAACAGCATACCACACAGAGCCAATGATTCCTGGGGCACCTGAAAGGGAGGATGCAGCAAATAATAGGGAACAATTTCTGAATTTAAACCCAAAAATGCCTGCTTACTACCCAAAATGCCTGGCATCATTGTATCATTCAGAGGTTTTAAAATGGTAACATGGATTCACGGGCAACCCAAACATTAGACACTTCTTCTGTCTCTTTCTTTTGCCTTCCATCTTGTACATTTTTAAAATTTTATCTCAGTTTATACATAAAGAAAATACAAAAAATAGAATAATGTGCTCATCTGTTTGTGTCAATCTAAACTTGTGATTATGGTTTTCTTTAACTCTCTTTTTTTTCCAGTGCCATGTTAGTATTGTATAAAAGAAAATATTAAAAACAAAACCAAACATAACAAAAAGGATATAGTCTAACACAAATAACATAGAGCATATGTTCATTCCATATTGATTTTTTAATTGTGAGTAAATACCATTATGAATATTTATTGCTCCATATATCCTGTTTTGAAGCTATGCCAGCTACATAATCAGCACCCATGTGAAAACTGTATTTAAAGTCACTGATTTTGGTGTTTTGAGGTCAAAAACAAACAATTGAAGTAAAAATTGTTTTTATTTTCAAATAAATATTTATCTACTACTCCAACACCATATAAGAATGGACCAAGAAACATTATTTCCTTTAAATATATTTCCACAGACTAGCCTCTCTGACAATTAACTGGCTTGAAATGATGCCAGTAGATTCCTGTTATTTTAAAGGTATAAATTGCACAGCAAAACCTAGATGCAAGAAAGAAACGTGGTGAATTGGGGGACAAAACACTGTATTAAAAGAGTGTTTGTAAAATATGTAGTCTCCACACACTAAATGCCTAGCAGAAGGTAGTTAGAAGAAATCAGTAATCTGTATATTGTCTAGCCTGCTTGAGTTGGATTTTCAGTTATTTACTTCTAAATGTATGCTTACTGATATCCTGAAGTTATGCCAACATTAGCATTAAGATCAAGATCTTGCCCACCAACCCCCAAATAACTGGATCCTGCTTTTCTTTCATTTCAAACTTGTTACTCTATGCTAAATTAGATTCATGTGTTCACAAAGAATCTCTTCGAATTACTTTCCAGAGTTGTTTCACTATCTAATGAGATAAAATATAGATATATTTGTCTTTCCCAAACCTAAACAAAATAATAAAATAAAATATATAGTTTCCAAAAATATTTAAATTTTTTTCCCTAGAGAGTCTGAGATATCTACTTAAATCACTATTTAACTTCATTTTTCTCCTAATTGTTTAATGTAAGAACTTTAAGAAGGACCGGATAATGCACATATAACCTTTAGAAAATGCAGTATAAATTGCGAAAGCTTTTCTATAATACCATTATCTGCAGTTTTCAGTTAGATAGAAATTCCTTTTCTAAAACCTCAAAATATATTATAGGCTTTAAAAAATAAATTTTATAGTACACTAATTCTTAATAATGTTTCCAAAGTTTAGGACATGTTTTGTCTTTTAATTTAGTTATTTCTTCAGTCATTCCTATCAGGATTTTTTTCCGTGACTTATTTTATTAATGTTATTTGTTTTGTTGTTTTATGTAAGATCGATATTTACTGATTATGTCTCAAAAGTATTCTGGAACAAAACTGTATAACCATAAATAATTAGATTAAATGATGTTTAAATATGTTAAATAAAATACATTGTATATTAAAAAGTTTTATGTTGTCAGTGGGCTAGATAATGAAATAAATGGCTTAAAGAGGGGAAGAATTCTAAATTTTTATAACTTTATAATACAATCTGAGGATTATTAGGATGTTAACTCAACATTTCTGTGTAAAAAATCAGGGACGCCCAAGTTTTGAGCATATAAAGGGTTAGGCAGTCAGCTAAGAGTTTGCTGTGCCCACACTGAATCTTCACCATAGCAATTCAGGGTACATGTTACTACCTTAGCTTCATGCTCCTTTGCAGATCAGGAAACAGAGACATGGGTGAAGATATCACACATGAATATCTCCAAGTGTTTTTAGTTCCAAACTCCGTATCGATTTACTACCCCACACTGCCTGGTCAGGCTCCCACTTATATTCGCTTTGTTAATAGACAAGATTTTTCCTGCTAACAGACAAGAAGAAGACATTATATTGTGAAAGAAGAGGACTAAGCTTTGAAGTTGAAGATAGACCCGAATAAAGTATCAATTTTGCTGTTTCACTAATAAACGCTACTTAAAGTGTTTTTGATTTATTATAGCCACACTTGAAGCCTTCAGAACTTCAATTCTGTATCTGCGTTTTAAGTGGGGATACCAATATGATCTATTTATTGTTACATTTATAAACAGATGGGTTAGCACATGGGAAAAGTTTAACATAGGACTTGGTACAATTTTTAGCTTATTGCTAACAAGAGTTGATGGAGTTGGTAGAGGTGGGTACAGGTAAGGAGGTAGATGTTTGGGGTTACTTTAGGATTTTAAATTCAGTAACAATTACAAAATAAATTATTTTTAAAAATGAAGTTACGTAACTTTCTAAATGGCTGAAACATCGTTTTAGAGCTTTTTTTTTCTTTTCTTTTTTCTGAAATGAAGTCTTGCTCTGTCACCCAGGCTGGAGTTCAGTGGTGCAATCTCGGCTTACTGTAACCTCCGCCTCCCAGGTTCAAGTGACTCTCCTGCCTCAGCCTCCCGAGTAGCTGGGACTACAGGCGTATGCCACAATTCCTGGCTTTGGATTTTTAGTAGACAGGGTTTCACCATGTTGGCCAGGCTGGTCTGAAACTCTTGGCCTCAAGTGATCTGCCTGCCTTGACCTCCCAAAGTGCTGAGATTACAGGCGTGAGTCACCGCACCTGGCCTGAGAGCTTTATACTTTGTTCTGAATAGGCAAATTACCTGACTTCAAAATTAAAGTCAGCAGTGCTGGTAGATGTGATCTTTAGTTTTTCAGTCTAGAAAAGGAAGCCACGTACAATCTGAAAATGAGCAGCTTCAGAGCAACACACTCCTTTACTTCAAGTCCTTAGCAGAGTCTCCCTACCCCTATTGCTAGTCCAGCCAGACCAGTACCTGCTATCAGTAGCGTGGTTCCAGCAACAAAGCAGAGGCGGACTTTCACGTAGGGTTCATCAGGAAGGAATTTCACGCAGTCAAGACCAAGGAGCAGGGTGAGAAATCCAAACCCAGCTAGAACGTCTGCAGTAATCATCAACGCTCGAGTTAGCACCAGCTTCACTGGAAGACCAGGGCATATGGTTAAAACAGAGTCAGAGGAAGGAAACATACTAACTCATAGAGACATAGCAAAAAAATCAGACAACTAGCGAACATTAACACACACCCACTGGGAAAAGTCAGGCTTCACATTTGTATGAACTTGGACATGAGTACCCCTCACGTTTTCATAAAACTAAAAAATACTCGATTATTGACATTATTGCTTGCTTAAGCACTGTTTACTACTTAGTTTTGTTGGTATACTAGCAGATTGCATTCTGGTAGATAGTGGGGAATAAAGAAATGTTTTCCTTTTTGCCTCATGCTCTGGAAAATGTCTCATTCACAAATACTGTAGCTGATTGCTGAATCGAAGGTAGCGTATCTATTCTACAAAAATTTCCCAATAAATATTGAATAATTAATCATTATAATTGTTTTAAACTTTATTGAAAAATAATAATAATTAGTTAAAATTTGACACAGGATACTAGAATAAAATATTTCAAGACTTTTTTTTTTCTTTTGCCAATTCAGCATAGTAGAACCCATCAGGAGATCTTTAGAAGAAGGAGAGTTATTTTGTGCTATTAAGTAGAAGGGTATTTCTGGAAATTAGATCATTTTCTCTTCCAGCGATTTAAATCATGACTCTTCTTGGCCAGTATTGCATATTAAGCCTTCAACCTTGCATTGTCAAATGACCATATTTTAAAGCTACAGGCAACAAGAATATATGGTAGACAGTCCAGGAAAGAAAAGATCAGGAAGATGAAAGTGGAATAGTAGTAATTGTCTTCTGCAGTAGAAGCATCTTCAACTGTGAAAGCCTCCTGAACTCTGAGTTATAGCTATGCTGAGCTCAACTTAAGGAAATTGTATCTTAAATAGAAGTTTAATTAACTAAAGTCAGAATTATTACTATTCTAGCTGACTGATGGAGAAAAGTAATACAATTTGTTCCTTTTATGGTACAGCAATTATGTTTTATTTTCATATTGATATGGAGTTTCCTTGTATTTTAAATTATTTTTCTCCTGTGGTAGGTAACCTTAGGGCTTATTTGGGAATATGTTGCTTGCAAAAATGCAGCCAATATTCCTTTTCTTAAAATTAAAAAAAAATTATGATGCATCTGAGAGAGAAAATCAATGCATAAAATCAGCCCCTACCTCATTAATAAACATACTATTTATAATTATCTTATTAATATATATGAATATTTGTTTCTAAAACAGAATTCATAAAATCTCAAAATTTAGCATTATTACAAAAAATTTAAATGTTCCAAATCTAAAACTCATTTTTCTCAAAATTGAGGAAAGAGAAAAATACGTAACCCATTGGATAATATTACTATTTCAACATATCTTCTTAATCACTAAATAGCATATATAAGTAGGCCTCCTACTCTGTGCCCTAAGCCAAAAGGTTCTTGTTCTTTGAATGTCCTCCCTTGAAATTTTTCAAGTACCCTTTGGAACACAGTACTACCTGGGGCCAACAATATCATCAGAATAGGGCCGTCTGAACTCATTCAAACTCTCGGGGGCCTAGGTCTTCTTCCCTTTGGAACTCTCCAACTCCTATCCCACATGTAGGGTCTCTGAAGAGCCTATGAGGTGGACCAGAGGCCCCATGGCCAGCCTGGCTCCAGGAAGGCAGTCCTGAAAGCAGATAGGTCATGCTGGTCAGTGATAAATTTCTTTTTCTGGGATCATGTGAGATTTGACTGCCAGAATAGTGTTAATATGCTGATTTGTGGGGACTCAAATTATTTATGTCAGCTGGAGCCATGACAAACATGTTTGTCTGGATTAAACACCTTAAGTATATAGGATAATGAAAAGAGTTATCTAATTGTAGTTGTGTGAAAGATAGCAAAAAATAAAAATAAAATCCTACTTCCTCATACGTAACATCCTAACCTAGAGGGTATAGATATGTCATTTTCCTAGGGCACATTTTCATCTCTGCTGTCTTTAAATGTGGTAGAAGTTCTTAAAGAAAAGTAATGGGTCTTTAGTGTATTTGAAAGTACTAGGTTAAAAAAGGGAAATGTGATAGCATAGGTCAAAGACAAAAAAGGAACATATTTAAATATAAACAGTAGTTTCCTCTATGTAGTGAGCTTATGAGTTATTGTATTTTATTCTTGCATAAATGTATATAACAGTATTTAAAAGTTTGAAATATTTCATCTTTCATTTTCTTCTCAGCTTATAAATTAAAATCCATTTTAATGAAGTTTTAGAACAGGCTAAATGTTCATTCCTGTTCAGCAAACAGTGTTTCTTTGTAGGTAGAACTAGGTTAGCACAGAGAGGGGAAAAGAAGAAGAACTAAGAGAATCTTTTTTCAACAAAAATAAAACAAAGGACTTATGAATTCTGTTTTAAAAGATGTTTCAGGCACCCAACTTTTAAATAGCAGACGAAGAATTTTAGAGAACTACTCTTTTTAAGTGCTTTCCTCGGGACTGAAATAGCTGTTCAGGTGAAAAGTCACATTCCAAGGGTTTAACTTTTTATTTATCTTGAGAAAAGAAGTTGGCTTATGGTGCCATCACCTATCATTTGCTTTGAAAGAGACTAAAACCACTTTGCTTTCATAACAGAACTGGTGTTTTTTTCTTAAATAAAAAAATAAATAAACACTATGGAGAAGGATTGAGAGAATCAACAATAAGACTTTTAAATATAAGAGATTTCTTTATTCATAGCAATGTGAGCTCTGCTAACATGTAACTATGTTTTATTTTATTTTATTTTAAGATGGAGTCTTGCTCTGTCACCCAGGCTAGAGTGCAGTGGTGCAATCTCAGCTTACTGCAACCGCCACCTTCTGGGTTCAAGAAATTCTCCTGCCTTAGCCTCCCAAGTAGCTGGATTACAGGTGCCCACTACCATGCCAAGCTAATTTTCGGGGGGTATTTTTTAGTAGGAATGGGGTTTTACCATGTTGGCCAGGCTGGTTTTGATCTCCTGACCTCAAGTGATCCATCTGCCTCAGCCTCCCAAAGTGCTAGGATAACAGGCGTGAGCCACTGCACCTGACCTTAATGATAATTTAAACCTAAAAGTAGGGAAGATAAGGGAGCTAGCTTTAACGTTGCCTCTAACAGCGTGTCACATGTGTTGATGTTTTCTTCTACTGATTCCCATAGGCTATGTCTCACTCTCTGGCTGTCTACCCTTTTCTGTCTCAGCCACTGTATCTTCACTCTCTCTTTCTTAGCAAGCCTCTAATTGAAATAATTATAAACTTTCTATTTGAACTAAGTCATTGCTTAAAACATCTCTAAAATGCATTTCACTTAACCTGTCCAGACTAATCATGAAATTACAGCACCCTAAATAATTCATTCCAATTTAAAAACCATGTACTGTAACTCTACTGTGTATGAGGCACTATGCCTGGCCCTTTAGGGGATAGCAAAGATAAATAAGTTAATATTTTTACCCTCAAGAAATTTACAAATATATGAGAAAATGGAAAATGTGCTAAAGCATGTATTTCCATTCACATTTTAAGATGAACTCAATTTCTAATTGAACCATTTCAAACTGGACCAAGCTTTAATATAGTACACTAGAAAATGAAGCACAAAATGGAAATCTGAACTCAGTTTTCTGTCTCTTCTCCTTCCTGGCAAGCAGGGAGATCTAAGGCATACGTACATGGATGTTCCGCGAGTATAGAGTCGTACTCATCACAGGTGCGAATCCCATCAAAAGCATTTGTGACACATTCCCACCAGAGGCCTCGGCACTTTGTGCTCACCTAAATGTTGGAGAAGACACCGTGTGAAACAATTCATGCAGGCACACTTCAGCTCCCCTTGATCAAAGGGAGAAGTTGACTGTTGTGTTTAATAGCAAAGTAAGTGGCTACACGGGTGATCAGAATTTCATTTACAACAAACAATGCATTTTAAAATATTTTCCTTTAAGCACTGACAATTAAAGCCTTTCTGGACCAGGAAATGAATCCACTTCCTCATGTAGGGTGGAGGTAGATAAATAAGTCACGGCTAGAAGAGATAAAACCATAACTAAATATATTTAAGTATCTATGGCTGCTTCCACCATTGAGTTATGATTACAGAAAAATATTATTTCATTTCTCTGTACTGACATTTACTTACCAAAAAAAAAAAACCCATATTACAATAGATAACTGTTGACACCTTGAGTCTATTAGAAATATATATTGTTTCTTTATCATGAATACTGAGTTCCGTGAAGAAAAATGTTATCTTTACATATGAAGTAGATAAATTTAAAATAATTAGCAAAGAAAACTAATAAATGAAAATATGCCAGTAAATAAAATATAAAGTCCCCAAATCTTATTTCTTGCTCCATGATATATTACAAATGTTTAAGCTATGTAATGGAGGTAAACAAACTGAGCATTCATTTCATACAACTTGACAACTGTAAACCATTTTTACTTGGAAATGATGTGCAGATGACTCTAAGCATCCACTTAGAGCTAAAAGGTACCAGTGCCCTGAACCTTCTCATACTTTATCTACAAACTGTAAGTCACAATGGATTTCTTAGAATCGTAAACATGCCAACAGAAAATACTTTTAGGTATTCTTGTTAGAGCTCCAGTGTATGGAACAGAGCTAATACAATTGTTTCCTCTGACTCAGTTATGGATTCAAATTACCTGGTCTATCTGGGAACAGTTTAGTAAAGTTTAACTATGAATTGTCTTGGAAAAAAAACTTAATTTTCCCCCAAAAAAGAATAAATAACAGAGCAGGATGGGAAGAGGAATGCAAAGGAAAGGGGTTAAATTTGTGTAGGGAGAAAAAAAACATGAAAACATTTTGCTTTGCAAAATAAAATAATAGTCAGGAAGACATGCACTATGAAACTCTCTGCCCCATGTTATTTTTTGAAGCTGTTTTATGTGACAAATAAAATTCTACTGCTTGCAACTTCATCACAATTCTGAATGTGGTACCTCTATTACTACTTTATATGTAAAATACTTATAATTGGTAATAATTTTTCTATACCGAGTCTATACCATGAAGCAGTTACTATTTAGCATATTATTATTTTGCTTATTTCTTAAGGGACCTTAAGAAATTTATCATCCATTTTCAAAATGAGAAAATTGGGGCACAGGAAAGTTAAGTGATAACCCCAAGAAATCATAGTTAATGGAGGAGACAGCACTCAAAAACAGCAGTAAGTGTGTGTGCTCCTAATCATTGCAGTGTATTTAAAACCCATTTTTTATCATCCAACAAGTCTCACTATTGGGCATTTATTCAAAGGAAAGGAAATCAGTATATCTGCACCTCTGTGCTCTTTGTGGCACTAGTTACAATAGCCAAGACTTGGAGTCAACCTAGATATCCAACAACAGAGCAATGGATAAATATAATGTGCCATATATACACAATGGAATACTATTCAGCCATTAAAAATGAAATTTGTTTATTCAAGTCAGCATGGATGGAACTGAAGGACATAATGTTATATGAAATAATCCAGGAATAGAAAGTTAAACATTGCATGTTTTCATTCATATGTGGAAGCTATAAAAAGTTGATTGCATAGAAGTAAAAGGTAGGACAGAGGATACTGAAGGCTGGGAAGGGTAGGGGGCAGGGAGTAAAAAGAGATGTGCTAAGAGGTACAAAATTATAACTAGATAAGAAGAATAAGTTCTAGTGTTCCGTAACAGTGGCCCCCAACCTTTTTTGGCACCAGGAACCGGTTTCATGCAAGACAATTTTTTCCATGGAACCAAGGGGTAGAGGGTTTGGGATGGTGTTGGATGAAACTGTTCCAGCTCAGATCATCATGCATTAGATGCTTATAAGGAGCATGCAACCTAGACCCCTCACATGTGCAGTTCACAGCAGGGTTTGCACTCCTATGAGAAGTTAACACTGCCGCTGATCTGACAGAAGGCGGAGCTTAGGTGGTAATGCTCACCTGCCCACTGCTCACTTCCTCCTGTGCAGCCCAGTTCCTAACAGGCCACGGACTAGTACTGGTTTGTGGCCCGGGGTTGTGGACCCCTGTTCTATAGCACTCTTGGCTAACTATTGTTAACAGTGATATAATTTCAAATAGCTAGAAGAAGGATATTTAATGTTTTCAACAAAAATATAAATGTTTGTGATGATGGGTATCCTAATTACCCTAATCTGATCACTACACATTGTATGTATCAAAACATTTCTATGTACCCCATTAAAAGTTGCGTATGTGCTAAAAAATTGTTTAAACAGTTAAAAATGTTTAAAAACAATTTTTACAAAAGAATTCCAAATTCATTTTAAGATAAATCATCCAGAATTGGGTATTGGATGATAGCTTTGGGTGAAGTAAGCCCTAACTTGAACCTCATCCCAAGGCTATTATTCTGCAAAACTTCACTTTGGCATGCTCTTCCTTAGGTTTAAGCTGGAAGCAATGCCTTGGACTTTCTGGAAGATTATATGACCCTGTGTGACACAGAGACCAAAAAATCTAATGATAAACAGCTATCCTGTGAAATTTAATGCATACATTTCTAAAGAATGTGAACATCTAACTTTATATGGGCATTACACAGACATTAAATTTATATATGCATATATGCATTAAATATTAAATATAGATTGACACTCTTACTATCTATTTTGCAACCTTGGGCAAGATCTTACCTTTTTTGATCCTCAGTCTCCTTATCTGTATACAGGAGGTAATGATAGATGGTTATATGAATTAAAAATTATAAATACATATGCAATATAAACGATATGCTCAATAAATAAAAATAGTAGTAGTAAAGTGCTTAAACATCATAATGACTTGAGCAGTGACTGTATTGGACTTTATCAACTAACCACAGTGAAGATGGAAAAAGATGGCGGCCTTCAGAAAGATACGTCCACATTCTTACCCCCAGAATATGAACTTATTTGGAAAAATGATTTTTGAAGATGTAACTGAGGACATAGAGATTAGGAGATCATATTGAGTTATCCAGGTGGGCTGTAAATTAATGGCAAATTTCATTACAAGAGACACATGCAGGAAACAGACAGAAAAGAAGGATGCAATGTGACCTCTGAGGCAGAGAGATTGGAGGGATACAGCCCCAAGTCAAGGAATGCCTAGAGCCACCAGAAGCTGGAAGAGGCTAGGAACAGATTGTTCCAGAACTTTCAGGGGGAATGCAGCCTGCAAACTTCTTGATTGTAAGCTTCTAGCCTTCAGAACTGTGAGAGAATAAAGTTACCTTTTGGTAAGCCACTGAGTTAATGGTCATTTGTTATGGCAGCCCTAGGAAACAAGTATAGTAGAGATGGTTTATACAGAACTGCTGTAGCATAACAGAAAACAGACCTTCACAAAGCTGACTGCCCCTGCCTCTCTTAATCAACAGGAACACGCCGAATCCAGTTCACTTTAACTCAAGCTAGGTGATATGAGTTTGAAGCCACCGTAAATCAGACAGTGACTGTCCACAGTTTCTTACTGTCTAAGCTGGCCACTGAAACAAGCTAGCCTGCTATGGTCCTTCCAGTTATATATGAGGCTGTTTAGAAAGTGATCTGATATGCATAATCAAAAATTCTTATTTTACGCTAATAAGAGTATTTCTGTCTTGCCAGAATAATCCAGTAGTGGTATCACTTTCAAGGCTATTGATCATTTACCTGCAATGACCACATTTAGAAAAGCAATGAGCTCATTAGAGAAAACAAGGAATCCAATTTCATTAGGTATTAATGCTCAGGGGCACACTATTAGATTGCTTGGTATTCACACTCAGTTAAGGTACGTGAGAATAGTGGCTGTAATTAACTAAACTTCTGTGTTAATATAGCACTTACTGGAGACACCCTTAAAGGTGCCTTTGTGTACAAAAGGCAAGGTTAAAATTTTTCATGTTTTTTATCAAATTTAGGAACGTTCTCTGGTATAATTTATGGTCTTCATTTACTTATTCCTCTGTGATAAAATGGCTTATTAGAAACTCAAAGGCAAGCAAATCTAAGTTCTTGAACATTTTAAGACAGGGTTCTTAAAAAGCAGATTGATGTTTAAAATATTATTGTTAACTTTTCTTAAAGGTTAAAAAATGCAAATATTAAGTAATAACTTAATCTGACAGAGTTGTCTGAAATAGAGGATTTTATTTCTCCTAACATCCAATTTATATACTAATAAATAACATTAAAACAGTGCTAATCTGTATGTTATTTCAATGAATATCTATTGTTCCTAAAAGTGAGGAGTGGGTTATTTCCTAAATGGGGAGAAGTAGGTTTATTTATTTAAGGTATGACAATAAAGCAGAAATCGCAAGCTTGAGGAAAACAAAAAAATCTCTTAATTAGTTGCCAATAGTTAAGCAGAGATGTTACAGAAAAGTTCAGATTTCAGGCTCCCCTTGGAAACTTGGTCAGCCTGGGTACCTGAACTCACCGGTCTCAGAAAGCAACAATTAGCAAGAAAGGAGTGGCTGCTCCCATTTAGGTGGGGCTTGTGCTCACCAGGTTCCCCACAGATCCTACCCAATCTGCCTCTCATGAATGTTGGTACTTGGTTCCTTAAGGCATTTGCGTTTTCTCCTCCTGGTACATACTAATTATACTAATGAGAATAACTTTCCTTGCTCTCAACCTGTCAGACTTCTACTTATTATTCAAGCTGCATTTTAAAGACTTCTGATTTTTCATCAGCTTCCCGCCACCCAAGTCTCTCTAGCTGGCATTTACCACATTCTACCCTGAAATCCCACAGGAATTTCTCCAT